AAAATAAATGTAATTCGGTCATGGAAGCCGAGAATTCCAGAGACGAATTAAGAAAAAAATGTCAGTCATAAAAAATTCAAACATAAAAAAAGTACACCTTAAAAAAGCAAAAAAAATATCTTGAAAAAGAGAATTGTTTTCCTTATTCAAAAACAAATCTGCGGAGCCAAATGTAAAGGTCATAGCCGAATAAGACGGAACCTTATTCAAGAAATGAAAGCGTAAAGAATGGCAACAAAGTTCAGTGCATTTGAACTCAGTTATGATAAAAGGGAGAAATATTACAAGAAACTGCTAACTTATAGAGGAATTGTATTATTGTGGCTAATAGGAAAAATGCTTAGCAGAAATGTAGTCATGCTTGTAACGACATAGTAATATTTTTCGCGCCCAAAACTTCAGTATTGGAAATAAGAACAGTACATTACTTCTCCTCCCTTTTCTTCTTCTATATCCTACATTCCTCCAGAAGGTAGGACATAGAAGAATCGAACATCACTCTCCACAATTTTACGTCCTATGTCAGACGTAGTAATTCTTTTTCTTTTTAGTATCAATCGTAAATTATACCAGCAATCACTGTTCTACCAACCATTTACACAAGCTCTTAAGGTTCGTTATGTACTGTTTTCCTCTGACCCTTTTACCATCAATATTTCTTGAAAATTGAAAATTATCCAAGGTCTCTTTACTTATTATGTGGCCTACATGTGTGAGCTCACTGTTTCTGATGCTACTTAAAAGTGTCCTTTGTGTTTTCATTTTCTCTAAAACTTCGTTGTTACTCAAATGTTCCGTCCATGGTATCGTCATTATTCGTCTATAGAACCACATTTCTGTTGATTTAGCTCTTTTCTCCATCTGTGAGGAGATTTTTCCGCATTCATCGCCATATCGGAGTATTGATATTATGTAAGTGACAAGTACTTTTTTCTTGGTTTCTAATGACATTTGTCTGTTTTTTTTTAATACTTTACTTCTCTTTTCGAAAACATTTTCTTTTATTCCAATGCGCCTTTGAATTTCAGTATCGCACTTTCCGTCCTCTGTTAAAACGCTGTAAATAATATCTTAATAATTTCTTTTGAAATATTTTGATATTTTGTGTTACTTTGGATTTCGTTGTCACATTTTCAACCATATGTTAATACAACTGAATTTCGTCATCAAAGCGTTTTGCGGTGAACAGGAAAGGTAATACTCGATTAAGGGAAGGCAAACATTACGGTTGCGTAGAACAGTTAAATTGACTTTCAAGATTATTTTCCTGTTTTATTCTTGCTGATTGCAATATTTGTTGTCATAGGGAGAACAACATTATTCATATTATTGGCGTCAGGGCGCTTTTAAATCTAAGGCATATCGACATGTTACGGCTGATGAACTTATAAATTTCCATTTAATGCCTCATTGCCTTTTCTGAACCTTTGATGAATAATTTCCAGATGATTACATCAAACACAATATTAACATTCTTTAACAATCTAACACATATAGAGATACATATGTATAAATCTACCATTAATCCTTGCTTTAAATATTGCTTCCATATTTAGTTTGGTGCTCCTCCTATATAATTACAGATTCCTGATAAAATCGAAAGAGGAATCTGCAATTTTATTGGTCCAGAAACTGACATCTCGCCATCAGTCCATTTCCTACCGCCGTAACATATCTTCGCTGTGTCATTTCTATAAATAATTTCATGGTAACTGTTCTGAAAAATTTTCCCCTGTGGTATCTACATTTTTTTTTCAAGCGGTGTTCTAGATTGGCGGCAAGGTATCATCAATGTACAGATGGAATGGCCAGAGGTAATCGTAATTTCTATGCTAACAATTTCTTCTATCGCACTTCTCGCTTGTGGGAATCTCTTTCGGCTACTTGCTTCCCTGTCAAATTTGATCTCCAAAAATTTAAATGAAATGTCAATTCTTATCTTCTGTCTTTTTTAATTTCTGTTCTTTTACTGTCACCTCTTCTTAATAGTAGTTTTCGAATATTCTCAAATGCTCAGAAAACTCTAGTGTCTTTATTGCAATGCTTGGTAGTGAAATGATTAATACACACACATATATATATATATATATATACATATATACATACATACATATATATATATATATATATATATATAAATATATATATATATATATATATATATATATATATAAAAATGAATCATTAATACAAATGTAAATTAGTAAAGATAATGATATAAAATGGAGAAATCAATTCGCTAACTATAATTTAAAGATGCAGTAACCTACTAAACAATTGATGATTGCTATGATCATTGTTTTTTTTTTTAAATTATAAGCTGTATTAGGTCTTACTTAAATATGTAATTACTTTCGACTTTTCCTTCTGTCATCATCAGGCATGGAAACTATTTCCTTTTTGGTAAAATTCAGGTAGTATCCGAGATGAAAAAACATAATGCAATTCGAAATGTTATTTTTTAAATGTGTTATTGATAACAGATACAAACTTCTAGAATGTGCAGGCGCTACGCTAAGGTTGAATTTTTGAAAATTTAAGTGAGAGTATGTTTTTACTAATATGGCAATTTAAGAATTTATTTTTTGTAGGAGTTTATCAGTCAATGTGTCATGAACTAAATAGTTCAATAAGTAATACAATGTCTCAGATGTTATCCCGAAATTTTGCACGTCGGATCAGTCGAAAGTACTTCATTGTAATACAAATTAAACTGCACCTCATATTTGACACAAACACGCACACAGATATATATATATATATATATATATATATATATATATATATATATATATATATATACATACATACATGTATAAATGCATACATATGGGTGGATGGGTGTGCGTGATTAAGCATTAAACCCCAAGCGAGGCCGGATTGCCACTAGCAAGCAAGAGTAAAGGGGCGGAAAGAGGAGAGGTTGGAGAGAAGGAATTAGATAAGACATCTGAAGAAGTCGATTGACATTGCATTTGAATACTTGAAGATTATAACTACCAGGAAAGCAAGAAAGAGGTAGGGAGTTCCACACACAGAAGGGGAGAGACATGTAGGTATTGGAGTCGAAGAGACGGCTACATTTAACTTTCGACAGTGAAAGGTTAGGACTGAGATGACAACCTAGTAGCGCCCTTTATATATATATATATATATATATATATATATATATATATACAAACACACATATATATATATATATATACATAAATTCATATATATATATATATATATATATATATATATTTAAATCAATTTCGCCGTTCATAAAATGTATTGCTACAATAACTTTGAGATGACATTCTTGTGAATATTTAGTACTTGTAACATTAAAAGACTTAGAGAAACCATGATCTATAAAATTATATATTTATATTTAAAAGTTCAGTGTATTATTATGTTGCCAGAAGATCTCTTGTTTAACAGAATGCTATTCTGTTTTAAATTTCCTTCAGATTTTCAGGAATTCTACAGAATACCGTCGAGAACATTATTTCATAAACTTTCGGTTTGGAATTTTTATCAAATTCTGACTAGTATTTCTTTTTGCTTCTACGATTTGATTTTTATCGCAAATCTTAGGCGTCGTTCTACTACCCGACTTTCTGATGAGTAAAGAACAATGGTGTGACAGATGCGATAAATATAAATCAACAAAAATAAAGTGAAAGAAATACGTGTAAAAATCCTTTAAATAACTGACAAGACACAATCTAATAAATTTAAATAATACTACTACTTTTAGTAAACAAAGAAGATGGAGGCGTATAAAGCCTTCTAGAAAATTAAATAGGAAATTATTGGATTTCTAGTTTTTTTCTAAAAACTACTTCAAATCTATCCTTTTAACGTTTCCGCTTGTATTCCTATCTATTTTACCTAGAGATTATTATTTTTCTTCTCCATAGGTGTAGATAGGTTTGCTTATCATCCCGTTCACGGTCATTCCAGATTTTTGAGCAGTACTAGGTTTATATACCTTTTCTCCTGCTTAGTTTTGGATTTCCGTTTTTTTCTAAAATCTACTTCAATTCTATATTTCTAATGTCTCCTCTTGAAATCTGAAATTTTATTCAATATTTATTTATTTTTCTCTTCAATAGGAGCAGATAGAGCAATATATCAATAAGTATGTAAAAGCTTATGAAACTTTATATGACTATTTTAACTTTAGCGCTGAAAACGTTTATTTTGTTATAATGGCTGATTACAAAAAAGAGAGGATATGGGATGTGTTTATTTTATTACCACAGATAGGCTGAACTATCGTTCTCTTCATTCCTCACCACGGTCTTCGGAAAAGGAGTAGAGGTTGAGGTTTCCATTTTCGATTCCTTCTAAATTCTTTTCATTCTCTTTCACTTCTAGTAGCACCTTGCGTCTTAGTGGATTATCGCCAGACTTGTGGTGAATTGATTAAAAGTAATATTAGTAGAAGTATTATTTGTTGTTGTTGTATTTTTGTAACCATTTGGTCTTCGTGAGCTTATTGCCGGAGGATTACTCCTTGAATTCTATTGCGTTCATTGTTAACAACTACAAAATGACAGTCCTCGAGTTAGTAATAAAAGAAATTATTGACGATGATTCAGCAACTAACGTCATGTGATATGATTGTGTTCGTCAACTCTGACTCTTAAACGATAACCAAGAAATTGATTTCTAATATTCATTAACTTAATATATTTTAGGAAAAATACTTTAAATCGAGATTTTAAGAGCCCATCATTTAATAGTACTTCATTTGTAAAATCTTTGATCAGCCTAGAGTGCAATTAACTTAAATTAATGGAAGATTCTTTCAGGTGAATTACATTCTTCGCTATGAAAGCGTATATAGCTTTTAGCCGTAATTTAGCATCTTAGCTGATTCAGCCAGCTTTTACAATGACCGAACATTGGTAAGAAAAACTGGTCTACCATTATTTAAAGTAGCTCTTACTCACACAACCAAACTTGACATAACGCGTCTGTCTTGTCATTCAGTGTGGAACTTTTAGGCTCTCCGCAATGAGAAACCCGATCACGCTCGCTACGCCTAGACCTATTTACTGACACCATTTGTCTGACAGGTCGTAGCCATTCAGTCAGAGAAGGCTTCGATTTGCCAAATTGAAAAGAAAAGAAATCTTACTTCGATCATACAAATATCGATTAATTTTTTTTCTAAATGTCTGGCTGCTCGTTGTGGTATCTTGTCGATGAGTACGTAACGAAATTCAAAGTACCAGCGAATCATGTCCTTCTGGTGTCTGCCATTACACTGAATAATTGTAGCAATTACTATTTTCATTCTATGGCTCAAAGAATTTCTATTTAGAAATCTACACGAGAAGCCTATGAGGATTTTCAATGGACTATACTGACTGCTTGAAGAAAGACCTAAATAGCTTTATTTGGAAAGCATTTTTTCGATTTGTTTGTCTTTCTCTGCGAGACCAGCGAAGAATCGTTTCTGACTCCTAAGAGAATTCTGTTTTAATTTCAATGTGAAACTTAGAAAAATAAAAACTTCTACTGTAGGAGAGGTAATATTTTTTTATCATACTTTAAACATACTTAAAGGTGAATTCTTTTTTTACTGCTATGTAAAGAGCTTTCACTGACTATAATACGCTTATTGTAATATTTTCAAATCACTTCCATATCATCATCGAATTAATAGAATATAATATCTAATTATAATCTGTTTTGACCGTGTCTCTTAGGATGTAAACGATAATGGCTCTCGACAACTTGTCTTTTGTAACTCTTAGCAATGTTAGCACTTTAAATATCTTTCCGCACCCTGACCTGACATCCATTTACACAAGCTCGTTTCCCTTTGTTTCCCTTGCCTTCTGTTTACCTTGTGTGTTTCAAAATCTACAAGCCGTGCTTCCTCGTTATATGTCCCAGAAATTTCATATATCAAAATCCCGAAAGATATGAATCCAGAAATTTAAAATCCTGAAAGATCAGAATCCCGAAAAATAGTTTTTGAGAGAAAAAAAAAATGGAAATATCTTTATTTCAAAACATTTAAAAATAGCGTTTAAATCGTGTTCATAAATTTGAAACTTTCAAAATTCATTCAAAAATATAAAACCAGAATATTGCATAGTCGATGGAAAAAATTTAGTCGGCAGGTTCTCGCACTATTGGAGAGTTTCAGCCCACAGAAAAGGAATGTGAAAGGAGCAGCAGCACGTAGAAAACGAATTTGAACGCATTCTCCGAGGAGAGTTTAGTCCAAAACAAAAGTGTGTTTTATCGTTGTGAAAGGATTATTAATATAGTTAACGATCGTGAAAACGGACCAGATCTTATGGACTATCTTTGGAATCTAGCATATATATCGATTATAAATTATTTATATATTCTATTTTCATATTTTTATTATAGCTAGACAGTAAATTGAATCAAAGACGCAGATGTCACTTTTCGCGCGCTAATAGCACGGCTTGTAGATTTTGAAATCTATTCTCTATGTTACGCTTCTTCAATAACTCTCATAGTATAGAAATCAAAGAGCGACGATGAAGCCAATAATAAAAAAAAGCTTTATAAGTTCTTAGACTGTGTTTGGATTATTTAGTTTAATACGCGAGAGCAGTTTTGCTTAAGTAAAGCCTTACAAAAGCTAAAGGAAAATGTACAATTTCATTTAGTTAAAACTTGTCGCGAGTAATAACATATGTCTGTATGTCTGACATGAGGTATTGTAACTATTTACACTATTTACATTGTTCGAAATGTTTCCTCATATTTATTGTCATAATCAAAACATTTTGGCCGTTTACGCTCCGGCCTTCTTCAGGAGACATAAAAAATTCCATCGAAGAAAGCCGGTGTGTACAGCGGTCAAAACGTTGTGAATATGCAATAAATATGGCAAAAACAGTCAAAACAATATAAATAGAACAATAAAATAAAATATTTTCAACTGCTGTGATGAGAATAAAAGATTTTTTTATTAAAAGAACAGATAACATTTTTCTTGATAAGACAAGTAACTAAGCGAATCGTGTATGTAAGCGACACCATTTTCAGATTTAATCCACCTTGATATTCAAGTACATATTCCTATTTTAATTTAATTTTTTTTTAAAGTGACGTTCACCTTGGACAATGTGGTGGGAGCCATTGGAGGTAGGTGAATAGTTTATGCGGATATGTGGGGAAGATAAATGTTAACCCTCGACTTGAACAGGTTTAGGATTGTTATGAAGGGAAAGCATCCTCTTGGATGTCGGTTCCGCATAGTAGAGGTTCGCAAGAAGAAGCTGCTTAAGTGGAACTTACTTCTTACCAACGGAATACGAATGTTAAAATACGCAAATGTAAAATTTGAAACCAAAGTAATACAAGAATATTCACTTATACTAAATCATGATATCAAAAATGTATATTAACTTTCCCATTTTTCGTTCCTCTCTAAAGTAGAGACCGCCGCTTTTTCCATGAAACAGTTTTATCGTGAAAATGTTTATGTTATTATTAATTGGAAAGACGAAACTATTTTTTATTATTATATTAAATTTTTTAATAATTTCTAGCACGTCCGAAATTTTGTCAAAAATCTTTTTTTTTACGTCAGCTGTCTACGTAATATTTACGATTAGTGTTTTAGCGCATTTTTTCAAGTGAAAAACGCATTGTTTTGGAAATTCATACAAAAATCAAATAACTGTCGAATTTTAATGAAACTTTCAAGACTTATTCATAAATGAATTAAAAAGTATTTTTCATTTTTCTTAGAAAATCTTGGTAAAAATTTTTTTTATATAAATGTGACCTCACCCTTATTTACTTTTATGAAATTTCGAGAAATTAAATTTTCACCCAAAAAACTTTTTATCAGTTGAAAGCAAATCTTCTTGGAAAATGTAAATCGTCAATTTCCTTTTCAAACTACTATTTATTTCCCGAAAATCTTCGAATTTAAAATTTAAAAAAATGCAACAAAATTATGACATTATTTTAAAAAAGCTTTTAATTTCTTTTATATATAAGATTTATTATGGATACTATTGACTTAAAAAGAATATGTTTTTTAATGAATAACGATTTTTTTTACAAGAATTATTTCCATGTGTTTTTTTTAAATTTTAATTATGATAATTTATGATATATAAATCATTAAATTTCTACATTACATTAATCTGATTAGGTGATATTGTTATTAAGTTAAAACTATACGAATCAAAAATGCAAAAGCTTAATGCAAAGTATTTTGCATCAAGATTTTTAAAACAATTTTTAATTTTTTATGTATATAAAATATTATGTAACGTGCCCCTGTTTTAAAGTATGGTCAACCATACACAACATTATCAGAAAAGAAGAGAGATGACTAGTAAATTTAAAGTCAACATTCTTAAAATTAAACTACGGAGAATATTTTGCAATATTTTTAAAATTATTTATTACTTAAAAATTCTATACAAAAGGCGTTCAGTCGTCATTTTCTTAAATTATGTTTTAACAGATAAAATCGCCGTAGAACAACAATAAAGGTGTCAACACCGTATCAGTGACTGCTAAGTGACTGACAAGTGAGGAAAAACACATAAATCACCGCTACTGTTTGTTTTAAAGATCAATTTCCTTGTTATTTTCAAGTTGTTTCAAGTCAGATTAATTATACTTAGCTAATATTCCTAAATGAATTCTCAGAAAAGCATACTTTAGTTATACAAGATTTTAAGACCGAGAATTAACATTTTTTTTAAAAAATCTGTTAAAATTGGCAGATGTTCAAAATTTTACTGAGAACAACCAAAAGTAGAAATTACAGTCAATATAATTTCTATTTGAAATACACCAGCGTGTTTTGCTTGCTGGAATTAGTAAATGTAATCTTTTAGCTTTCAATTAAAGCTAAAAAGAAAGCCTTTTCTGTTTTAAAAATTCAGTTTAATACTTAGGTATCGAAAATTTAGTGGATGTACCTACTTTAAAGTAGAGCTACTGCTTACATATTGGCATAACTATGTAACATCTCTGCAATTACGACAACCTGTAAAATCTCGTAAATAGAAAATAAATCCAACCAGCCGATATTGTACGAATGAATATAGTGAAAATAAATAGTAATTGACTTATACTATGTTTACGGTAAACTATTATTATGTATGGTGCTAAACCCGTTCAGAAATATCTAAATTCTCAGCTGTATACAACCGCTTTCTAAGATCAATGACTAAAAAAGATTTTGAGCGAATGAAGCATGAGTGTTTTCGTAAATATACTTGTTTAGGCATTGTGAACTGGTGATGCAGAGTCACAAACAAAGAACTATAACAAATAACATAAACCACATCATTTTTTGATTACCGACAATAGCAACAACAAAGATGGATAACATATGTAACTATGAATAGATAGAATAATGGCATAATGAAGATGTTAACATTCCACACTATTTCAAATAAACTGTTAGGAAAGAAACCCTAATCAATAATGGAAAGAGCGTTAACAGCTACTGAAATTGGAAAAACTATTTTTCTGGAGAAATTGTTTTAAGAGTAAGATTTTATGAACTTCAAACAAAAACAGTCTCCTCGGTCAATAAATGCCAAGAAAAAGGTTGCTACCATTACCATTTGAAATGTGGCAAATAGTGTGAAACTGAATCTAAAGCTATCTGAAACTGGTTGACACAAAGCCATAACTCGTGTACCATGTCTAAGATAGCGAATAGGTAAATACAGTACAAGTAGTATGTCCGAGAAATAACATAAACATACAAAGTGGTTGTTGGTCTTGTGCCTGTGCGAGGGTGCGCGTCTAAAAGGGATAAAGATTATCCGAAACACCGTGACAATACGCTATCGTATTTCCACTATCAAAATTTACATTTTTTTTCTAATAAAAATTGTAACTGGTCGTAAATCCGGGTGTATGTTGAAGACGTTAAGTGAGGAGCACATGGAAAAAATACATTTTCATTTTGGAGATCATTGATAAGAAACTTAATGTAATATTGCTTATTTTCTCGTATTTTCTAAATATCTGCAGGCTAAATCTCGAAAGTTTTATTTTTATTTTCAAAGACTAA